TGCTTTTTGTGAGGAAGTTTACCATGGGTGCATCAACACATTGACTTGTTGTAAAAGAAAATACCAAGCCGGTTCTTGTCTCCCAATTGGTGCATTTTGTGTAAGTTGAATGGTGAGACTGCTTACCACCTCAGCACCTCTTAATCTCCTGCCCCTTTTTTGTATTTGGGAATGGTTTTGCTCTCTTTTTGGTTGTAGGTGGATCCCTCCTGTTAGTTTGGATAGGCTCTTTAGCCCATCTTTTCTGAGGGGCACAAAGAGAAGAGGTAGAATCTCGTGGAAATGTACAAGGGCAGCAGTAATTTGGATAATTTGGGTTTTGGGAGGAGAGGAATTCAAGAACCTTCGAGGATAAAGAGAGGAACAAGGAGGCAGTTATTAAGATTGTTATAGTAAGAGTAGCACACTAGGTGAAGACTTTGGAACTATTTTCAGATTTTACAGTGGAAGTCTTCTTTAGAAATTGGGGGTCAATAACGACTCTTCTAGGAGACAAAAAATCCTTGAGGTTTGGTCACCCCCAATTGGAGGATGGATGAAACTAATTTTGATAGAAGTAGTTGGGCAACCCAGGACCTTTTGGACTTGGAGGAGTGATACGAGATGAGGGTGGGAACATATGTGGACTGTTTTTTGGGGCCAATTGAACAGGGTGATTCAATTGGAGCAGAATTTATGGCTGCTGCTTTTGGGATGCAAAAGGCTAAGGAGATGGGAATTACAAAGCTGGTTGTGGAAGGGGATTCAAAGATAGTAATTGGGTGGTTGAAGGAAGAAGGGGTGTTGGCAATTTAGAAATGAATTCAGGCATTTCAAGATGCTGCCAAGATATGTGAACATTCAAGTAAGATGGGTAAGAAGATCTGCTAATGGTTTGGTAGATAGATTAGCTAAGCAAGGAGTACATAGATTATAGATATCATTTGTATTGGGCTCAATTGTAATAGGGTGGTGGGGTTCTTTTGTTGTAAAGGGATTTCAGATCTAACAACTTCTTGTTGTAATTCCTCTTTCTTTTTAAAGTTATTAATAGAATTCTCTGTTGCTGATAAAAAATGTATTAACACACATTATTTAGATGTAGCAACATTTTTTTGACAAGTAACTGTAAATTTTATTATTAAGGTTAAAAAAATTACAACCATTAAAATCATCGTTGGGTAGGGTAACAATTACTACCCTACCACTTCATGAATATATAGTTCACAAACAAGCCCAATACAATTACTTTCTGGTAACCCCTTTCTTGTCTAGAGTCTCAGCTAGCCCATTTACAGATCTCAACACCTGTTGTATCTTAATATTCATACTCCTTGCCAACCATTTGATCTTAGTTTATTCCTATAGCTCCATACTGCCCTCTCTCTATCTTCCAGACATCTAGTTACTACCTTGGAATCACCTTATACAATTAAATTATTCAGGTTCATTTCCTTGGCCCAGCATAGTCCTTCAAGTACCACAAAGTTTAGCGCTTGTTGAGTCCCCATCCCAATTGGGTCTGAGAACATAGCAATGATGTGTCCATCCTTATCCCTAAAATCCCCTCTCTCACCTAAAGGACTTGGATTTCCTGTACTGCTCCCATAAAAGTTTAGTTTAATAAACCCATCAGGTGGTATCCATTGTTGGTGTACTTTATGATAAAAAATTGTTGTACTTTTCATTTTCTTCAAGGAGGATGCAACTATGCAACTACCTGTCTCCATCTCCACAAATCATCATATGAATGAGTGGAAAATAGCTCCATGAACTTAACCCAATGTACTCTAGTCCTAATGCATTCAAACACCACGTCTTGACTTCTTTCCTTCTTGAAAATTCTTTCATTTCTTTCTTTCCATACTGTTCACACTTGTTGTCCATGTGCATCTCCACAATACCCTCCCACTTTTTCTTGGCCATGTGAAGGTTCCTGCACAAAACAACCTTGTCATTATTTGAAGGCTCCATCCACCTACAACCAAAGAGAGAAAACTTTTCCCAAATACAAGCAACAAATGGATAGGAAATTAATAAATGATAACAAGTCATATTATTAATTAACCTTATAAAGTGCACACCAATTTGGGGATAAAGACCAATTTAGTTTTTTCATACCTCCTCAACAAAGTGTCCCACTTTAGGAGGAATAGGCTTGCTCCACACCTTTTTAATAGCAAAAGAAAGTCGAGGGGAAGAGGCTGGGCTAAGAATTTTGGAAAAGGAAGCACAGGTAAAGAATCCCAAAGGGTGAAGAGTCCAAACTCTCCTATTTGGTTTTGATGGGTGCAGGCAAACTTCATCTATGATCTTGAACAGATTGATTACACTAAAAGCTTCATGATCCCTCAACCTTCTTCAAAATCCCAAGTCCATTCAAGGTCCATGGGCAAGGAAAAAGATACAAATTTTGAGATTGGTTCTCTTTTGAAATTGGAGATAGAATTCAAGGAGGGGAAAAGATTCTTAAGAGGAGAGTTACCCATACACAAATCTTCCCGAAAACGAATTTTCTGCCCAGAGCAAGCATCATACTTGATGAAGTTTAGAAAGTCCAGAGCGATACCATGTATTGCCTTCCATGGAGAAGCCAAGGTAGCCCGTTGTGATACAAATGCCATCCCAACCATTAGCCATAAGACCATGAATGTTTACTATTACTTTACTCCACAATTTCTCATTTTCATTAGGTAACCTCCACAACCACCTAGCAATGTTGAATTCTTTACTCCCAATTCTCCAATCCCCACTCTACCTTGATTTTTGTTCCTACATACTACCTCCCATTTCACCAAGTGGTCATTTTTTCCTTCTCCCTGGTTCCCATAAAAAATCTCTCATCATACATTCTGTGGTCTTAGTTATTTTCTTTAGGATCTTAAAAACTGAAAGGTAGTAAATTGGGAGATTTACTAATGTGGATTTTATTAAGGTTATTCTACCCCCCAAGGAGATGTAGTTCCTTTTCCAGATTGCTAGTTTTTTCTTGACCCTCTCTATGATAGGATCCCAAAATCTACTGTCCTTTGGATGGGGCCCTAAAGGTAGACCCGGATAATTCATAGGCCATTGGTTAAGCTGGTGTTTGGCATCGATTCCGTTGCTTCAGGGACGTTTTCTGAGAAAACGGTGCTGTATGGATGAGGGTCTGTTGCACCATTTTTTGAGAAAATGGCTCCTTTTTTTTGTTTGGCATCGATGCTGCCACGTGGGATTGATCCACATTATCCAATGGCTCCTTTATGTTTGGCTCCTTTTTCAGCATTGATCCACATTATCCAATGGTTTACATGATGCCATATTGGTGCCAAGTCATGGTACCGTTGGCAGCAACGGTTCTGAAAATGAGAAAATGCCAATTTCGACGTTTTCTCAGAGCATGCCTTCCCGAATTCCAAGGCGTGGTCGTTTTCTGGAACAGCGGTCCCAAACAAGCCTGCGTTTCTTGGCACACTGTTTTTTCTTACATGGAGCCGTTTTCTGAGACAATGGCATCGATGCCAAACACTGCCTAATAGAACAACCTAGTATTCCAGCATTGGAAGTTAGTTCACCTTCTTTGACATTTGTCCCCACAATGCAACTTTTGGCAAAATTTATCTTAATGTTAGACACCCTCTCAAAGATCTTCACTACCAACCTCAAATTCCTCACCTGTTGTTGGTCAATATCTTCACAAAAGATTATTGTATCATTAGAGAACTGGAGATGTGTGACTACTACACCATATTTTCCCTCCCAAATTCCAAGGCGTGGTCGTTTTCTGGAACAGCGGTCCCAAACAAGCCTGCGTTTCTTGGCACACTGTTTTTTCTTACATGGAGCCGTTTTCTGAGACAATGGCATCGATGCCAAACACTGCCTAATAGAACAACCTAGTATTCCAGCATTGGAAGTTAGTTCACCTTCTTTGACATTTGTCCCCACAATGCAACTTTTGGCAAAATTTATCTTAATGTTAGACACCCTCTCAAAGATATTCACTACCAACCTCAAATTCCTCACCTGTTGTTGGTCAATATCTTCACAAAAGATTATTGTATCATCAGAGAACTGGAGATGTGTGACTACTACACCATATTTTCCCTCCTGCTAACCCTTTTATCACTTGCAGGCTATCAGCTCTAGACATTATTCTACCAAGCACATATGCTATGATGGTAAAAAGAGGAAGGGAGATAGTGGGTCCTCTTGTCTAAGACCCCTACATGCTGGAAAGAAGTTCCTAGCTATCCCATTGACTAAAACCAAATAGTGACAAGTTTTTTAAGCACCCACTAATCCATCTACACCACTTTTCACCAAAGCCACACTTTCTCAATACCTCAATCAGAAAATTCCAACAAGTCATAAGCCTTTTCAATGTCCAACTTACAAACCAAGTCTTTCCTACCCACTCTCCGTTTTTCTTTCCATGCACTCAGAAGTTGATCCAGTATGTGCCTATCCTGAACAAAGTTTCATTGGCAATATTAGTGATATCATAATATGGCGCCTGCCTTGTAATATTTGTTGCCTAGGCAGGCACCCTGTTTGTATAAGCCAAGGTGTTCTGCAAGGAGCACAGGCCCCAGCCAAGGGTGCCCAGTCACCTAGGTAGGCAATGCCTTATCAACTATGCTAAATGATCTTGTGAATGGAACAAGGGATCAACTCAGAAATCAGAGGTATTGCCCTTTTAATCTAATAGCCTCTAGGGTAGGGACCCCATGTATTGTTCCTCAGAAAAGAGATATTGCCTTTTTTTGAGTCTTGATCTAATTCATCAACAGAAAAGAGATGAAAGAGCAAAACTCTGAAGTCTTACTGAAGAATTTTCTGCATAAAGCTTTTTTTTTCCAGGCTATACTATTTAATGGATAAGACAAACTAAATACTAAGTGGAATTTCATTAAAAAGATGGAAGGTAAATGAAGAGGTCATTAACATCTGATGAGGTCAAGCAGCATAGTTGTCCTTTAGATACTGTTGAATTGTTGAATAGTAGTTAAACTGATTTCTGACTGTTTTTTAATCAGGGTTTTAGGAAAGCTGATCCAGACCGCTGGGAATTTGTAAATGATGGTTTTGTCAAAGGTCAAAGGCATTTATTGAAGAACATTAGCAGAAAGAAGCACAACCAGTGTCCTGTTCAACAGAAAGAATCCCAACAGAAGATCCCTGTTGGTGCATGTGTTGAAGTTGGAAAGCTTAGCCTCCAGGAGGCCATTGAGAGTCTCAAGAAGGACAAGACTTTACTCATGCAGGAGTTGGTTAAGCTCAAGCAACATCAGCAAACATCTGAAGATGAAGTGCATTGCTTGAGAAAACGTCTTGAAGGAATGGAAAAGGCCCAACAACAAATGTTATCATTCTTGGCAATGGCCATGCAGAGCCCTGGGTTTTTGGAACAGTTACTCCAGCAGAATGAAAATAGTTGGTTCATGGCTGGAACAAGCAAGAAAAGAAGACTGGCTACTCTGGAACAAGTTACCGAAGGTGCTGAAAATGAAGCTTTTGATGGTCAGATAGTGATGTACCAGCCACCAAAGAATGAGACCTCAAGGCCTATAGTCATGACAACTTCAAACACAAATGTATCTCCAAATTTGGGTAGTTCTCCAAGTGAAATTGAAGATATTGTTAAGAATGTTGATTCCATGGCATTGTCAATGGGAGAAATGTCAGATTCTCCAGAAAATGATGCCTCATTTGTCATCCCAGACTTTCTTTATGATCATTTATTGGAGCAATTTCTTCTGGATAGTCCCTTGGTGGAGAATCTTGAAGAAATTGAACTGGATGCCCCAGAGCCCATGAGCACTGGAATAGAGATGAAATCATCATTGCCCGACAGTCAGCATGGGATCAGTCAAAGTATGGACCTTCAAATGGAAGAACAGGGTCTTCTAGCATCTGAAGCTAACAACAGATATGAGATTCTATATAATAATTCAGGGGACCTTGCAGCAACATAGGGACCTCTATAGGACTATCTTCCACTTTGTATAGCACATGACTACATGTCCTAAAGGAAATGGATCATTTAGTGCGTTTGAGGTTGCAAATAAGTGTAAGTTTTTCTTTTTCCCGCTTAAATTCGTTTTTGTCTTGTTAATTTTGTTTTTGTGAGATTAACCAGGGTATATTATTTATTTGGCTGGCCCTTATTTCATCCTGACAATCTGACATTAGAAATTTTCTCTGGTTTGCTGACAGATCTTAGCACCATGTATGATCTTCTCTATACAGCGAGTAGGAGGGCATGGTATGGTAGTGTTATTTTTAATGGTTGATACACTTACTGTCCATCAGTCCATTTAGACTTTTCCGGCTCTTCCGAATGTACTGATTGAGGGCAATGATCTGTATACATACTACTCAAACTTCCTGCTTTGCTTTTTGAACTTTGTCAATCCTAGATGGTAGTAATTCATAGCTACTCCATCTTCATATATGAGATTATGCTTACATATTTTTGTCTACAATTCCTAACCGTCCGTTTTACAAATGTATTAATACCTGATACTCTTGAAAATAAATATTACGTCAACCTTTCTATATGATTTATCTCAAATTCTCTGTTTACATGTTTCTGTAATTAATTCAGATAATACATCCCTTAATTTTAACCAATCTTTTGCTTTGTGCTCAATAAACCATCGGATTGGAATTTGAGGAAATTCACGCCAACACAGTCTAGTCAATTTGTTTTGTGAATTTACTTCCAAGTTCCAACCGATATTATTGAGTTCTGAAGTTTGCATGTGACATACTGTTCCAAATCATTTCTGACTGTCTATGAACCATACCATTTTGACTGTAGTATACCGTCTTTAATGGGTTCTATTCCTTTATGATTTTAGAGTTGGGTATGCCATTGTAGAAGTGACTCACTGACTCCTAACCAAGGTTGCTTACCCTATTTGATGAGTGGATGATGCATTCATCTGGTTGCTTTGTCTGGTTTCCACTAGCATCATTCAATGAATTTCCTGTCAGTTATAGATACGTTTTTTTTTCGAAGACAACTAGGTAATTATTGTTTTCCTCTCTTCTCTAAGTTTATGGCAAGCTTATCTTCTTGAATTTCCGGTAATGATAAAATATTTGAGTTTTTATAGCATATCCATGTCTATCTTTTTTTTTTCTTTTTTTTTTTCCGTATTGAATCCATGTATATCCAAATCGTATTTCTAATTTTGCCTTTCCTGTTCTTTTTGTGTTTTCAATAATTTTCACCTTGCTTGTGTATCCATCCCTATCTTCATTTTTCTTTTTGTTTTGGTATATTGTCGTAATTTTTCTAAACAGTACATTACGTGGGAGGATTTCCAAATTGCGTTCAAGAATAGCTTCTCAAAGGGGAAACGAAAAACCATTTAAGTTTATACACAGAATCATGGTTCAAAGTATTGACAAGTATTGGCTTGTATCTGCCGATACGTATCATTCCGGGACCCCTTTCATATACCCCTATAGTGGGTGTATTGGGGGTCTGACCGGTTCAGGGGGTGGAGGAGATCTAAACTGCCCCCCCTGAACTAGTTTCGAAAAAAAATTAAAAAAGAAGTAAAAAAAAGGGTATCAGTTCGCCCGATACACTGGTTAAGCTTTTGAACCTTGCACAGAATTAGTTCTGGCTTTAAGATTTGAAGAGTGTTCAAATGTCTACGGTGCTGTTTGGCAAGTCTTCTTTGAAAGATTTTCTCTGATCAAAAAATGTAGTGAGCTTTTACATACAAATCTTGACAGTGCAGACTGTTTGGTTGGAGGCATGTCTTTTCATCAGAGAACAAGTTTGAGCAGGTGAAAAAAAGATGAGAAACTCTATTTCTAGTTTCCCAAAATAAGTTTGAATTGAGTTTTCTCGCATCTTTTTGGGGAGCGGTCTTTCGGCGGAAAGATCTTCCTCCAACAAAATGGAGGAAGACTGTAACGCGAGTTATTACTGTAACGCGAGTTATTGAGCTTCTAAAAAGCCAACACTCCGCACGGAAAGACTGCAGTCCCTGTGGTTTATCATCCGAATCCATGGAATCAATTCAATCACTCAAAGACCAGAAAGATTTTGAAGCTTTTACGTTTAAGACAGATTTAATGGTGTCTCTCTGAAGGTAAACAAAGCAGCAATATTGAACATGTTGCATTGGGTGGAGTCTTGAAGGGTGTTCGTAAATTGATTTACAAGAGGGGTAATGGGAAACTAAACAAGCAAAGAATTGCATTGATTGACGATTCAGTTATTGAACAGGCTCTTATGGGAAGTATGGATTATCATATGCATAGAAGATCTTGTCCATGAGATCATGACTGTTGGTCCCCACTTTAAGAGGCAAACACTGATGGCCATTTAAGCTCAAGTCTCCATTGGGTGGGGTTTGAAAAAGAGGACCCATTATGTTGAGGGAGGAGATGCTAGAAACCGTGAAGATTACATCAATGAGTTGATCAAGAGGATGATGCATTCACGAAAGGTCGTTCTGACCCTTCCTCACAATAACCAAGTTCAGAGTTGATAGGTCTGGGCTGACAATGCAACCACGGAGAGACTTCCTTCCCGCTCTAACGCTCTTCGTTGTGTCTGTCATATCCACGGAAGCAAGATATGCCTCTGTGTACTCCCTATTTCATGGGGAATCCTTGCTTGACACAACCTCCCATAATTTTGAAAACATAACCCTTAAATAATTCACCAAGAGCATCTCCATTGACCTCCTGTGAAATCCTCTTATCAAAAAATGCTCGGAGTTTCTGGTCATTGTCCATTTCAACCTTCTTCTGGCATCTGGCATCTTGTAGTAGGATTTGCAATATTGAATTTCATCTTTGATCTAGTGCCGCTGTCGTCATGATGAGCAGATGAGGTAGAAAAGATCTAGTGTTAATGTAGAGCTGGGGGAAAATAGCGGCCAGTGGGCACCCACCATCTTTAAGATATTAAAAAAATGGGTTTCCTCTACATCAATTTTCAGTCATTAAATTTGATCGGAATTTTTTCCAACTTGATCAGGTGGCTTACCCTAATGACCAACATCTACAATTTGTTGTTTTCAAAGAAGACTGGTTCTTCCAAATCTGTCTCTACTGATGATGAGAGTTGGATTTGCTATTGCTTTTGGGACCGAAAAAAGAATTATTGGATTGGATTGATAATTTAAGAGAAATGGGCAATGAAGAGAAAATAAAAAAAATTTGTATGGATATTTTGATAATTTAATGGATTCCGTCATCTGATTTGACAGTTAGGGGGTATTTGTCACATAGTAAAAGTTCAGGGGGTATTTGTTGCAAATTAAAGTATAGAGAGGTCTTTGTCACTAACCCTATAGTACAAGGAGGGTCTTTATAATTTACTCAAGAATCAAAATAATTCTGTAATGTATCAGCCTATGATAGGTTTGAAATGTATATACTTTTTGAGGGATTCTATAGAGGTCCAAAACGACAGCCTAAAAAAATGACTGACCGGTTGACAGTTGATTTGGGTTCTTTGGATTTTTCACCAAACTAGCTTAAAAGCTGTCCACGTAAGGTTCACCTTAAAAAGCCAGAAGCTGCGGCAATTAAGCCCTCCCAATTCTGTTCCATAATCTGATTATGTTATGTTGACAGCCCAAAAAATGATTGACTGACAGTTGATTTGAGCTCTCTGGATTTTTCACCAAATTAACTTAAAAGCTGTCCATGTAGGATTCACCTTAAAAAGCCAGAAGCTCCTGCACTTAAGCCCTTCCAAATAGGCACTAGTCCGCCTGTATATTCTGATCAATAATCTAATTTAAGTACCGCCCAAAAAAATGACTGACTGATGATTTGAGCTCTCTGGATTTTTTCACCAAACTAGCTTAAAAGCCGTCCACGTAGGGCTCACCTTAAAAGCCAGAAGCTGCTGCACTTCCTCCCAAGTCCCAAATAGACACTAGTCCGCCGGTATACTCTTCTATTCCATAATCTGATTTAAGTACCTATGTTATATTGGTGCAGAATAGAGTCCACCCATAAAAATCATTACTTTTAAAAGCTCAATTAATTATCTATTTCTTCTAATTTCTTGCATAGATCTCTTTAACTCCGAACTACTAACTTTTCTCCAAACTTCAAATTTGTATCTGTTAAATGGCATGAATCCTCTGTATCTCATCTGATTCTTCATCATCTAAGCCTTGTCGGGTTGGTTACATATGAATCATGTTTCACCATTTCTTTCTGTTCAGTGCCATATCCATTGTTAACATACATGTGGCATTGATCATTGGCAGGCTGGGCCGGGCAGGGCCGAAGCCCAGAATTTCTGGGTTGGTGGGCTTTAAATGATCACCTCTAGGGAAGATGTTATTATAATATTAGATTAATATAATATCCCAGCAACCAAACAAAACGAAAATCATCCAAAATTTCAATTCAAGAACGTACAGAAAATGCTATCTGATAGATCACGCATTCACGCTACAGTCTTAACCATGCCAAAAGCAGCGAAAGAGGCAATGGCCCCGACCATGGCCGTCTGCAAGGCATTCCTGACCATGGTTTTCGAACCGCTGCTGATTCAGACAGTTGGACCTTTTGACTCGAGAATCATTTAGGTAATCAGTTTTGTTTTATTTTAAATTCGATCTTTGGTCAAAAACCGTTAAATCAGTCAATAACCTGTTGATCTGGACAGTCGAACTATTGATCCATTGATCCATTCAACAGTTTTTGACCATTTTTATTTTTAATTATTTTTTATTTTTTAATTATTTTATCAAAATGAATCATCTATTCGAACCAGACGATTAAACCGTCAATCCATAAATCGGTGGCTAAAACGATTCATTTTCCTGATGGTTTTTTTAAACCATGTTGTTGACGGACCTGTTGCCTGTGAAGTGTCCTTTTATGTAGCCAAAGAATAGCAAAACAACCAAAGTAACGACCACGGACATAAGGACTGCTTTTTTGTCAGTCAAAACGAACATGTATGGGATAAGAGGAAGCACGCCACTGGCTATGTAGGCCATGGCGATTGTCATTGCACTCTCCAATGCTCTCCTTGGCTGTGGCTTCTCCAATTCAAGTTCAAACCTGCATTCATGGTGTTTTAATTTTATCAGCAGAAGATTGGTGATGGTTCCCACTATCTGGGGTGGCCTTTGGGAGTGAGACTAAGGCTAGGTTGGGAGTGTTTATTTGAAAAATAAGCATTTGTTCTAAACAGCACTTATTATATGCATTTTGAAAATGATGTGATGAGACAAATAGGCAAGAAAGGAAATAAATACTTAAAATTTGGGCTTCTCAAATAATTGCTTATTCTTATTTTGGTTTATTTCTCAAATACAAATAAATATTTATTTATGTGGTCCCAACCAAGGTTCAAAGTATCGATACGTATCATTCTAGCACCCCACCGATACGTCCCTACAGTGGGTGTATCGGTGGTCTGACCGGTTCAGGGTGTGGCAAAGACCTAAACCAGCTCCCTTGAACCAGTTGCGAAAAAAAAATAAAAAAAAACCACCAAAAGGAGTATTGATTTGCCCGATACGCCCATACCGCACGTATCGGGCATATTGATATTTTGAACCTTGGTCCCAACGGCCAAGATAAGTGATTATTTGAATAAGCACTTGTTTTAAGGAAAACTCCGTCAGTTATCTTATCACATAATGATACGTGCAATTTAAATTTTTTTGAAAATATCAAAACTACTCTTCTAAAGAAGACACTATTCATAACGGATTGAGGTATTTGAGATCCTATACCGATGAAGACATCAAAATTCTGGACTAATGAAGATACCATTCATTGTCTTCTAACTTTAGATGGTAGAACCACCTCCAACCAGAACGGGAAGATGAAACGGCAACACCTGAGTACTCATTTGGGATCAACATGGATGCGGTACACCCCAATACCAGAAGAAGTTAAACTCCAATGGGGGTGATGGGCCTTTTCTTTCTAACCTCTTCAGGGAGCTACACAGTCCAATCCATCGATTACGGCAAGAAGATGATGGTGATCTATGATCCAGCCATGTCCACTTGTACCGTGCTACAACCGCACCATGACGGCCTAGCACTATTCCCGCCATCTTAGATTCTGCGAATGGCTCCTCGGTGGAGGAGTAGAAGCGCTGGTCGTACGTACGGTAACGAGGGGGGTTCGCGTCTATACGTGTAGTGTGGTGGTTGGGCCTACCCACCCTATTYGAAGGTTTCTTCAGACGCAGGATAAGCTCGGTGCGAGACACGCTAGGTCTCGGTCGACTCCCCTATGCTTAATCCACACCATTGTATATTAATCCACACCAGTTATGATGTCAATTGCTCACGTCATCCACAATTAAAATTCGTGGATTAATCCATACCAGTATATATTCAGTCATTTTTATTGAAAATTTTATTCTCAGTTTGGAAAGTGTACAAATACAAATATGTATAGTATAAATACATACAAAATATAAGGTTTTTCACTCCATATATTTGTATTTGTACTCTTTTCAAACAGAGAGAGTACAAATACAAATATGTACAGTATAAAACATACAAAATATAAGGTTTTGTTTTATTTGTACTCCTTTTAAATGGAGCCTTAGGCTTTAGGTTGCGTTTGGAAACGATACAAATAAGTGTTAGCTGTAATGGATGCAAACATGAATTCCAATAAAGCATATGCTTTTTTTTTTTTTTTATCAAAAGTCCACTTAAATGCAAATTTACTTCTTTTTTATTGTTGTACTTTTACATCTTATTATCAATGTAAATATGCATTGGTCTGTCACTTGTCAATGCATAAATGTAATGTTGCCAAACATAGGCAAACAGTGTTTTAAAAGGCGTGGGAGGCATACGCCTAGAGGTGCGCCTCCAGGCGAGGCACTCCCAAAACGCCCTGAGGTGTATGCCAGAGGCGCTGATACCTCTGAGGTGTACGCCTCATGTGCAAAAGGCACGCTTTTTTCATGAGGTGTGCTAAAGGCATATGCCTCTTGCACCTCATACACACCTGATATGAAAATACATGAAGAAAAAAAAGAAAAAAGAAAAAAGAAAAAAAGGAAAAGAAAAGAAAGGAAAAGGAAAGAAAAGGAAAGGAAAGAGAAGAAAAAAAGAGAAAAGGGAAGGGAAGGGAAGAAAAGATAAGGGGAAAGAAAGTGGTTTGCCCCTTGCCCCTTCCTCTTCATCCTCCTCCTCTTAAGAAGGCTTACACCTTGTGTTTGGGAGGTTTACGCCTCTTGCGTTCTAAATTACGCTTCACGCCTCTAGGTAGTTGAATGCCTTGCGTCACGCTTCCACGTTTTAAAACATTGGCCAATAGTGAATCAGAGTGCAAATTTACTTTGAATCGGGATTTACAGTCTATCTGCATCGTTTCCAAACGCAGCCTTAAACTCAATATGGAAGGAGTACAAATACAAATAGATATAAAATAATACAAAATACAAGGTTTTGCACTCTACATATTTGTATTTATACTCCTTCCAAATAGAGCCTTAATAATAATTTTATTAGAGGCTTATTGGTGTTTCATCTGAAATATGATTTAAAAATTAAGACTTAGGTCCTCACTCAATGCGCTCGGACGCATTTCAAATGTAGGTTAAAGTAAAAAATATCCCTACCACATTCAATCTCTCTCTTTCGTCTTCCCACCACTGCCCGTCACTTGTAGTGGCGGTGACTCTCTCTCTTACACATACATACAAACGAGTAGAGAAAGAGAACCAGAGAAGGCTCCTTTCCTCTAGCTCCAGGCTCTGGCGACATCTATTCCTCTCTACTATACATTCTCATTCATCCTTAGAACAACGTGTTCTGCCAAGTTGAGAGAGTAACTCATAGAAGATAACCCCCTTACGCCATGGAAGAAGAGATGCTGTCTTACACGTCTTCTTCACTTCACCAGAACAGCTCATCTTCCTCCACGATCAGTTCTTCGGCTTGCTAAAACAACCAAATTCCAATTCTAACCCCTTCGAGTTGGATGAGAGTGACGTGGTTTGGTCGTCCCAATTCTCTAATTCTCCCAAGGACAATTCCCTTTGTTCCACTTCTGCAGTTCCGCCGACGGTATTGAATTCTCTCAACAATCAACGTAACCATGGTTTTTAAAACCGGATTGGACCGAAAAAACTGGGAATTGGTCAGGTGATTGGTTTCATTTTTCTCCAAAATCGGATTTTTGCAAAAAATATTGATTTGATCAGCAAATCGCTGACCTGGGCGGTTGAACCATTAGAACTATTCAATGGTTTTGACAGTTTTTGACTTTTCTTTTTAATTTTTTTGTCAGAACGAGCTGATCGTTCAGTTCGAACAATCGGACCATTCGGCCCGAGAACCAAACCCCTGACTAGTTCATTGTCTAGGTTGGTTTTAAAAACCTTGAACGTAACCCTTTCCGTCTACGGAGATTGGGTCACTCCGCAACATTATCCGATGATCACCGCCCTCTCATTCAACGAAAACCAACATTGGACTTGGACCCTTCACCTTCCGCAGTCAATGCGGCACATACAATCCCACCTGTGCCGATTCCCACTAGTTAATTATTAATTATTTTTATTAGCTAGTAATTTTTAATTATTTCATTAATTTAAAAAAATATATTTTAATTTTTAGTTGTATAAATTATTAATTATTTTTATAGTCATTAATTATTTTTTTATTTTAATCATTTCATTTATTAATTAGTAATTTTTAATTATTAATTTATTATTTATTATTTGTATTGTTTCAATATTATTTTGAAGTTAAAAATTATTTTTTATGAAATAATGCAAATTGAACTTAACATTTCCAAATAACATGTTTTAGGGGTAAAATAGTAAAATCAATGAATTTTAAATGGTAAAGGGTTGATCCAACACAAACAAACTTATGAATCCAGAGCCTCTAAAGAGTAGAAAAGCATCTATACTTATTTTTAGATTTCAAGCACAAATAATATATTTTTAGCTTTTCAGATTTTAGATTTTAGACTTATCAAACACCACCTATCTCTCGTTTGCATCACCCAACATCCATAAATAACTAGCTTTGTGAGCCATCCCTACAAACAACAAAAGGAGACAGGATTTGCTCCTTATAGAATACATCTCACACCAACCTCACATCACATCCCATCTAGGGCTGTCATCAAGTCGGATCTGGATGGGAACCAACTATAACTAGAACCTCCTCACTCGTAACCAGACCAGATAGGGTCAATGTTTTTTGGACCTAGAGTCAAACCAATTGGTTCACAAGACAATCGAGTCTAACCCGACAAACTCAATTATAATAAATAAAAGGATAAATCTCTTAAACTACCCCTACTGTTCACGAAATTGACAAGTTGTACCCTTACTGCTTAGATATTGTCTTGTGGTACCCTTAAGTTTTCTGACAATTGACTAACTCTACCCCTGTCGTTAATATCCATTAATGTTTCATCGAAATTCATACACACATGACACCACGTGATGTATAAATTTTTTTCAAAACCCAATTTTGCCCTTCATCCCTCTCCCCGATGGTAGTTACAATGAACCACTCAGCAACTGTTCCACTCCCTGTCTCTTTGCCACTATCATCACCATTATCGTTGTCTGTATCCAACCACTTTTGTTGGCATCGCTAGGTTTTTCTGGCACCAAGTCCTTTCCAGAGGAGGTGGAGGATTGGCAGTTGTCTACAACTATACTCTACAATTTTCAAAGATTGGAAGCTTTGGAGTAGGTACGAAGGAATGGGGGGAGAGAGAGAGGGAGAGAGAGAATGGGAGTTATGCCCATAAAGCTTCAAAGCAGGTACGAGAGTTGTGCCCGTTGTTGTTGCATTACGAGCCACTGTGTGACTGGGGCGAGAGGGAGAGAGAGAGCCGTTGGAATCCCTGAAGAAATGTCAATAACTGTTGCAGTTGTTCATAAAATGGTTGCGACGTTGTAGAGGGAGAATAGGAGCTTTTGGATCTTTACGGAGTTGGATTTTTGAAGTTAGAAGTGTCGTTTAGGACATCGATTTGGATGGGCGTGGATTTTCTTTGATTTTTTTTTCTTCTTTGATTTTTTTTCAAATGCCATTTTGTTATGATAGTTTGAATGGCCGTTGTAGATGCGAGTCTTCACAGCGATTGTAGACGCAGATCTTCATGGCCATTCAAACGACTACTAGAATTCTTTTCTTCTTTGATTTTGACAAGCACATATGAAAGCACGACGATTGTAGACACACTCCAGCTTTTTAAGGGTTTTCCAAGTCTTTTTCTATAAAATTTGAAGTTTCTTTTTGTTTGCTTCAAGGTTCAAAGTATCGATACGTATCAGTCCGTATCGGCCGATACATATCGTTCCATATCGACCGATACGTATCGTTCCGGGACCCCTTCAATACGCCCCTACAATGAGTGTATCGGAGGTCTAACTAGTTCAAGGGGTAGAGGAGACCTAAATCGGCCCCCCTGAACCGATTGTGAAAAAAATAAAAAAAAGGGCTTGGAATTGTGTATCGATATTTTCAACCTTGGTTTGCATTAAGAAAAAGTTGGAGCTTTGGTTTTTAATAGGGCAAATTCAATCAAAATATCTTTTTATTTTAATTGCACCCGATTGGAATTGTGGTGAACCAGGAATATTGCCTAAGCAACAAGGAAATTTCATTGAGCTATGGAGGATCACTTGATTTTGTAATGTGACTGCCTCATCACGCCTACAACTTTACAATCTATGCAAGGAGTTGACGTTTTGGGACCTTTTGGAGAAGGCTCTCGCATCGAGACTGCAATTCCATTCGATCTTGCTGTTGAAGATAAAAGAGTCGAGGAACATGACGTCTCCGATGAAGAAGAACCTCTTCTTCAGACTATGAAATGCCGCATTTGTCAAGAGGACCACATCAAGAACCTGGGGACGCCTTGTGCCCGCGGTGGTAGTTTGAAGGTATCTTTCTTATAAGTCCTCGTGCTGTATGCATCTCATAACCTCTTGGATGTTAGGTTCTATTATGTCATATAGTATCCAACCAAGTTCTGTTCCTTGTATTGGACATGTTAGATATGATGGCTGCTCATGAAACATCCTAAAAGTGGCATCAAGAATTTTCTCAGTCACCATTACTTCAACCATTCGCAAGAAACTCCAGCATGATTGGCCGTGGGAGAGTTCACATCTGAGCGGCAGAAGTGAACGAAACCGGTGATGAGGCCCCCATTGAACCAGTTCTCCTGAAACATAGTAGTCTTTGGGCAAAACAGCAATGGTCACCATTATTTTCGGCTACAATGACGCCGATGGTAGTTCTCTTTGTTCACCGTCAAAAAGATTAACAGAAATGAAGATGGAGGAAGGAGAAGCAGAGGAAAAAGGAGAAAGAGAAAAAGAAGAGGGGTTGAAATTTGAGGAGTAATGAAGGGCAAATTTGATATTTTGTTTCCTTCCATTAGCACGTGAAGACAATGACAATTATCTGAAAACTCAAGAGTACCCCAAGACAATAAGGATAGTTTAAGAGATTTATCCTAAATAAAAAATAAATATTTATATTTAATACAGACCCAAACTAGTTTCATCGGTTTAAGTCCATCAGGTCCGTCCAGTCAGAACGGACCGGACCTATTGACAGCCCTAATCCCATCGTATATTGAAAACATCTCCCAATATCTCATGAATATGAATAACAACACATGTATGGGAGGAGATGTTCCCGATGTGCGACTGAGATGGCCACAAACTTCAACGGAGTCTGGGATATCGGATTTAGTCCCCACAACCGTACTCACAGCCACTTGTGCATTGGGAATATATGGAGCGAGCACTGTTTAGTGAGAGGACTGAATCCGAGTTCCGAGTTCCGAGTTCCGAGTTCCGAGTTCCGAGTTCCGAGTGTGGTGACCACACGCCTTTCTCCCGTCTCTTTCCTCCCTAACGCTATTCAAGACTGTCAATAGTGCAAAAGGAGGGAAGGGAAGGTGAGGTGAGAGCCTGAGGGGCGCCATCTAGACGTCAGATTGGAATCACCTTGTACACACGCATTACAAGTGCCCATATGGGCTGATGGACTCTGGGCGCAGGACCTAAGGTTAAGGTCCAACCAAGACACTAGTTTGGGTGAGAAGTTAGTCAGCTAATTACCATGAATTCCATTTATTCCAACTTCCTTCAGGCTTCAGCGGCCTCATGAGCCAAGAGCATACGTTAATAGCTAGGAAAAAGGAAAAATAAATTTGCAAAAGTTAAGCTCTGCTTTTTAAGGCTTAATTACCGTAAATAATTTCCCCAGATATATGATTTAATTTTTCAAACCAGTCAGCTGTCAATGGCCAGTGAAGTTCATGGCTTGCTTTCACTAAGAAAATGGCCTTCTCTTTTCCTTCGTAAAATAATTTCCGCCTTTTTTACGTTCAAGAAGCGAGGGAAACCTAAAGAAAGCTTTCTCGATATGGTTGAGTTAAAATTCAGAGAATCATTCCTTAACTGCATTCAGTAAGAAGGGAAGCAAAGCGTACCCACCAAGACCCATAGAGATGGCGCCGGCGGTGAGGATGACAGAGGAGGAAGCACTGGCACCGGAGAGGCCAGCTGCGAGAGCGAAGGGGACGGTGAGACCGTCGGAGATTCCGATAATCGACCGCATCTCTCACGATCTCTCCCGCCATGAAATGCGTCTCCTTGTGATGGTGCAGGAGCTTCTCGTCTGAGATTCCCTTTGCAGCCATTAATCAGAAGAGAGAGAAAGGAAACATTATGATTATTCTCTGCGAGAGACTGAGAGCAAAAAACTGAGAAGGATTTAATACAGTGCTGGGGCCTGGGTGTCTGCTGGAGAGAGGCTTGCATATATAAGCAAGAGTGGCGTTTCGTCCATATGGTCGATTCGAAAATAGAAATATTTTGCACACAGCTTTGGAATTAATTACTGATAATGCCACTGAATCTTACGGGGAGGGCGTGTGGCGAGCACCGTTCACGCAAATCACGCTATATGACGCACGTGACGTTAGTTGAAACAAGTTACATTTACATGTCAACCAAGAAACAAGTTGCTATTTGTTTCTCCTCCATTATTATATTCACGAGCGCTCCTTTTTTTTCTCAGACTTCTTTGCTTTCCTGCTTCTTTATCTTATCCGATTACATTTTCCTTGTTTCATTGCTCGCAGAGAGTTCTGCCTAATCGTTTATGATGGTAATATGCTTCTTTAGCCACTAACAGTGTGAAGGAAAGAAAAAATGACCGATTTTCTTCTTATATTTTATGTAGAGAAAATTGCAGGAAAAGGAAAGGTTTCGTTTAGGTTAGACACTCATGGTGTAAAGGAAAGAAAGGACGATTGGTTTTTGTTTACACTAGACAACTAATTAAAGGGGAAAGTTTTCTTGAAGGAAAAAAGGAGTAATAATTTAATAAAGGGCAAAACTGGATTTTTCAAAAAATTTAAATTGCACATAATTAATGTCACTTGCTAATAGACATGGATGGAAAACTAAGGGATGGGAGATTTTGGTCCTCTAACATCACTTACGAGGGAGATTTAAGTCCAAAATGAAAGATGAGGGGATGTTTCAGTATTTAGGAGAAACCTTAGGGGAGGTGTAAGTCTTTTACCCAATAATATAGTATGAATTGGGATCTAATCCTCACACTGACCTCACTGTCACATCCCACTGTGTATTAGGAACATCTCCCATAAATAATAACATGAAAGTATAGGAGATGTTTCCGATGTGTGGCTGGTACATGCTATGAATTCAGTATAAGGAGTGCTTTGTACGGAACAAAGGCAGATTCATAACACACAAGTACAGGAATGTTTCCGATACATGGTGGGATGTGACTATGAGGTCTGTGTGAGGAGTAGATCCTCTTGAGTCTTATTTAGTCCCGATTCAAAATTGCTACTAACAGATGCTCCTGACACTCCCAACAATCCATTACAGTTGTACATTGATAACGTCTCCCAACAAAGGGAGGAATTCACATTGGCACCCTATAAAGTGATCAAAACTCTTCAATCAAATCCAATCAGATTCTTATCAGATCCAATAAAAGGATCCAAATCAAATTCAAATAAGAAGTTAGAGAATTCATTATGAATTCAAATTTGAATCATATGCTATGTGTATTTTCTATTGTAGGGATTTAGATATCCCTACAAACTCCATGGACCATTCATCGGATTTGTAGTTAGAATCCATCGTAAATGTCGGATTCTAGAGATATATTGAAACAAAGTGACTACGCGGGGACATTTCTGTAATTATGGTCTTGCTTTGATGTGGATAAGGGATAAATGGAGTTGGGAAACTTTTGTTAATGGCTCCTTTTGCATGGATAAAGATTCAATCGAAACCTCAGTTTATGCTGTTGGGATTTGGAATTTCTATTAGTGGGTCCCCCCACTTTCACTTCAATCTCCACTTCTAGAATCCAGATAGTCTTGGTCTCAGTCTATTGACACGTGGTTGCCAACATGGACTCAAATAGATGTTAGTTTTTAGTTTCCACCGATGAAGCAAGGGTCACATTAGATATAGCTGAGTAGGGGTAAGGATTATTTAGTGAAGAGGAATGGAGTGAGTTCTTTGCCAGTTGGTTATCTCCAGTCCACTCCTTCACCGAATATATAGCTGATGAGAAGTTAATTTTAGAATGGACGGGGGATTCCATGGGCAAGACAATGAAGCTAAAATTGATCAGGGGTGTTTGGCAAACCTTTTTGTGTGGTATTTCTGGCTTTTCAGTTTTTAAAATTAGGAAAATCAAAATTTGGTATTTCTCTTTTTGGCAATGAAAGAAAGGAAGTTGGAAAGACCTATGCCCTAGTGTGTTAGTGAGTGAAATTGTTGGAGAAAGAAAATGCAGGTAGGAGTTTTGAAGAACTTGAGGTGAAAAAGATTTTCTAAAAATGTGGAAGAGATGAAGAGAGCGGTAGTCATCAGTTCCAAAATGTTTGAGCTAGAGTTCTCTATCGGTAGGAAGTTCGAAGGATCAGAGATCGCAGAACGTGGAAGAGGAGCTTGGACAAGGCTGAACCTAAGGCTTGGGGAGGTGGTCTGGCTGGCGGAAACCCTTCAGATGGTTGTGGAAGACAGAACAAGAAAAATAGAACCCAAGAAGGGAGTACATAGGGGCAGGGTGATTCTTTTCCAGGTCAACAAAAACAGATGGGGAAGATTTGTTAGAGTAAGCCGCTGGGAAGAAGCAGACAAACTGCGAAGCATTTGCATGTCGGAGGAAGAAAATAGAAGTCGTTGGCAGACTTTCTTGCAAAAATGAACCAGAGTGGTAAGATAGGAAGCTCCTTTTCCTGAATCCTTCCCCACTTTGGAAAAACGAAGCAGAGTGGTCAGACAGGAAGCTCATGCCATATCTCGATCGTGCATTAGGCTAGTCCGTTCAGACAGTGGAAAACAACTTTTGTATGTACAAAACCAAAGGAGTTGAGTTGGGAAGAAGTGGAGACGGGGTTGACTGCAAACTTTCATGCCCCAGAACAAATACATCTTACTCCTTGCGACTTTAATCGTGCATTGGGTTTTGCCCCATCAGAGGACATGGTTATGATTTGGTCGAGGCTAGAGAAGGTCTTCATCTTTTGTCAATGGGTCTCTATATCCCGTTAGTGGCCAACGGTAAATGCAGTCCCAAAATCCTTGATGTTTGACGAGTGGATTCTCATTCAAGGACTTCCATTTCATCTATGGAGAGGAGATTTTTCTTTGATTGGGAGCTTCTGTGGTGGGTTAGAAGAAATAGACACAAAAACTAAGCAATTTCAGGAGTTAAGGTTTGCCCGATTAAAGGTAAAAAACAGAGGAATCCATTCCATACCTCGTTCAATTCCCCTTCTCGAGAGAAATGTCTACTTTTACCTAGCCATCGAGGTGGAGACGAAGACTGAGTCAATTTGACAAGTCACTGAGCCAACTCATCCAAACGATTCTCAAACATGTGGAATCTGGCCAGTGGAAGCTGAAGCAAGCACAACATAGAGAAGCTTGCGTGAGACCAAAGATTTCAGAGGAAAGCCACTGCCACTCAAAGCTTTTGCCAAAGAAGGTAAGAGGTCGAAGAGAAGAAAAGGTCTTAGAAAGACAGGAAGGCACGAGCTACCAAAAAGGGGTAATGACGGTGACTCTAGCATCCCTGATACCCCCACCTTTGACAATGGAGAATTCCCTGATATTTCTGTTAGTTCAAAAGGAAAAAAGAAGAAGCATCAATAGGCTTCCAACTCCTAGCTCGAAGGCTTCTCTTCTTCAGGTGAGGAAGAAGAGTTAGACATAGACTTAAGCACTTACTTATCATGAGGAGGTATCAGACAGTCGGGAGGTGGCTTTTAGACGATCAAGGACCTTGTTCGAAGGAACGAAAGATTGGGGAAGTGTTGAAATTTTACAGCCAATGCAATTAGTGAACCCAGACTATTGGAGAAGATTCTGACCTAGGGCACCTGACTGAGGGACCGAGTTGTTCTTCTTCGACCATTGCTAACCATCATCTTTTAGCTCCTTCTCTGTTTTCTCCCCAACTCTTTGAACTTTAGTCACATTTTTTCATCTTCCTCTTCCAATATTTTAGTCTCTCATCCTAACTCCTCTGCTGCCTATCTTTCAGGTTCAAGCATCTTGCTATTCCAATCGTTAGCAATGCCTTCCTCGTTCATCGGTAACAAGGAAGTAGGCGGCCTGCAAAGTTCAAGAGGGAAAGTGGCGGTGGCAAAGGAAATTCCCATAGACAAGATAGACTTAGTTGAGTTGACAAAAAATCTAGGTTTGGTAGATAGGATTGAAGAAAGGGAAGTTAAACCAAAAGAAAAAGATGCTAGAAGGAACGACAATAAGGGGACCTCGTCCAAGATGGATCCAGGAAAGAAACTAAGGATAAATAGGGAATTGAAAAGGCTTCAATGGGGATTGACAAACTAGAAACTGGATACTCATTATAGTGTGGGAAGTAGAGCAGGTAAGGGAAAGAATGTAATAGAGACGTGATGAAGATTCTGAGCTAGAACGTTAGGGGTTTGGGAGAAGAATTGAAAAGAAGCCTAGTAAAGGAAACTCTTAAGAGGGAAAATCTAGACATTGTCGTTCTCCAAGAAATGAAAAAGAAGATAGTGGACAGGAAATTATTAAAAGCAATTTAGGGTGTAAGGAGCAAGAAGTGGGCAACCTTACTAGCAATAGGGACTGCAGGAGGAATTATAATTGCTTGAAAAGAAGAATCAGTTTCAAGAATAGAAGTGGATGTAGGGGAATTTTCCATTTCTGTTTTATTCACAAATACCTCATATGGTTTCTGCTGGATTTTTATAGGGGTTTATGGGCCTAACTCTCCCTCCGAAAGAGCAAGATTATGGGAAGAACTAGACTCTATCCATGAATATGAGGAATTGCCTTGGTGAATTGGGGGAGACTCCAACATCACCAGATATAGTCACTGGAAACGTCACCAGATATAGTCACGGGAAGTCGAATGGTAAATGGGATAACTAGAAGCATGAGAGATTTTTCTAGTTTTGTAGCAAGGCATCATCTACGAGATATCCCTCTCTGTAATGGGAGATTTACTTGGTCAAACATGCAGGACGATGCAATGAGTTGTAGAGTAGATAGATTTCTGATGACTACTGACTAGGAGGAACACTTCCCAAACCTTCTATATATATACATATAGTCCATGATTTTCTATTTTACTTGTGTTATTTCTTGATCAAAAAGACATCTTATTTTCACCTTTAACTGGGATTGGTGAAACTGTTGAGAGATTAATATTAATAACAAAAATTCTCTCATGCATTTGAATCTGATCAACTTTTTAAGGAGATGAAAATATTTGAAATTACTTAGAAACTTTCCCTCAACTTTTTGTTTTCCTTTTATTTTCTATCAAACCAAACACAACCTAAAGGTTGTGGTAGCATCAGATCAGGATATCACCTCTACATGATATGATAATGCAAGTGAATATTCTAACAACTTAAAGTTATTCATTTTGAACTCTGAAAACTTTTAACTCTTGTTCCTTGTGAATGGCTTGTCCATTCAGTGCTAGCTTTACCATGCATGCAGCTATTTTGAATGCTAGAATATTTCTATTTTCCAACTTCATTTTTTTAATCTATTCATAGAATATAAATTTTTTAAGTGTTTCAAGTTTCATCAGTTCTTTACATGCATGGGCATTCGTCATTTTACCCTTTTATGCTTAGAAAATTGGGCTTTGGTGGTCCCTGAGACCAACCTAACTGAAATCACAAAAATCTGAAGAATTTGTCTTTGAAATTCTATTGTATATGGCTAAAGTAAACACTCAAATTAGCCGAATTGCTGTTCTACAGAGAGAGAAAGGAAAACTGTCTGCAGTATAACAAGTGAAATCAACTATAAGTCAAAATGGGTATGCTTCTCAATCCATCTCTGACAGTGTGATAGATGCAATCAATAGTTTGAAGAGTGTGATTACAAGTTTGGGGAGGCTATCCGCCGTAGCCTATTCAATGAGTATCTTTTCAAGCTCAAAAGCAAAGAAGAAATGTATGGTGAAGGGTAAAGGGTGAAAACGATAGATCTTTCTGCGGGCTCAAAGAAGAACATAGGCTCAAAGAAGAAAACGATAGAAATGTTACCAGAGAACTTAGGAAAAAACAGAGAGAAAAATCAAAAGAAACCTTTAACAAACGTAACCGAAAAAGCGAAGGATAGATCTATTACCTTGCCGACGAAGAACGACGTCCGCTGCTCCTCCGGTGTCACTCCTCCAATTGTCTATTTGCGGGCGGCGTCAAGCTTGCTCGTGGTTAGGGTTTCAACGGATAGAGAAACAAAAAGAAGAAAATCATGGGACGGTAGATTCGGGTTGCATTGGATCAAAACTTCAGTGCACCATATCATACGACACGTAAGCGCCATGTCAGTTATGCGTTTCGGGTTTGGACAATATTTCAGGCTTGCGGGCTCGGGCTCGGGCCTAAAATATCGGGTCCGACGTTTTATGGGCCAGTCTCGGGCTTTCTCAAAAAAGTCCGGCCCAAGTCCGAGCCTGACTTGATAATCTATTATGTTAATAAAAATATATTTTATATAATAAAAAAGCATATATACTACATTTTTCTTTATTTTTCTTTTCTTTTTTCAAGTAATATTGAGACTTTTCATTATTTTTTTTAGGTTTTGAGGTCTTTTTAAACAGCTTTTAATTGAATTAAAAAGGAAAAAAACTAACCGGGCTCGGGTTCGGGCCTGGGCTTTGGGCTTTATATAAGGGCCGAGCTTGGGCTCAAGACCTAGGCCCGATGGTCGGGTCGGGCTTGGGCTCAAGCCTGAACATATTCTGTTAATGTAGAGGCAAAGCTTGGCCCACCCTGTGAACAAGTCTGGAAGCGAGAATTTCACTTCCTCTAACGGCTATTTTCACGAAAGTCGATGAAAAAAATGGGAAAACATTTATTGCCGTTTTTTCATTAAATGCTACCACCAAACAGTGATTTCAGCAGCAATAAACGTTTATGATGGAGGTAGATTCGGCCCGACCCCTTAGTTGTGCGACACGTGGAAAAAACTGGGGTGACCTGGCAGGAACGCCAGCTCAGCACGGCGACATAGCACGACCATATCTCAAGAAGAGGCCCGAAGCTCCCGAGCACCCCAAAAGGAACCCACACTTCCTGGGAGGTGAAACCTGAGCTCTCTCTAAGAATCCCGAGGTTAACAGAGAAGCCCGCGAGGGGCAAAGCCTGGACTAGCCCACCTCGAGTCAGCCTGAACCATATGTCGGCACCTTGGGACAGTAGGACACTCCCATTCGAACTCAAGACTTCACCTCGCGCACCACTCCGACACCTCGGCTCCAGGTCGTGCAACTGTGAGACCATACCTAACAGGTCCGTACTCTGAGGCAGCACACCTGACTGGTCTGGATCTGACAGATGGAAATCACGCCGTCTCTGTGGCAGAGACGACCATGACAGAGAGGTCATTGGCGGTTAT